GGATCCTTGGCAATGGAATACTGACTAGTATAAATAAAATGGAATGGAATACTGACTAGTATAAATAAAAATAAAAATTTCAGTGTTACGTTTCACAATGGGGTGTTCTCTCCTCTAACACCCCTCTCCAAAATGCCAGAGCACCCTTGCTTCGGAGTAGTCTGGTGGGCCTTTTGTTCTCAGAGCTTGTATCATTGCAGGATCCTTCTATGGGCTTTTCCTACCTTCTTGTGCTCTGAATGGTTCCTTCTCTTTCCCTCTTCTACTTTGGTCAGGCCACACATGAAATACTGTGTCCAGTTCTGGGCGCCACAATTTAAGAAGGATATTGACAAGCTGGAATGTGTGCAGAGGAGGGCGACCAGAATGATCAATGGTCTGGAAACCAAGCCTGATGAGGAACGGTTGATGGAGTTGGGGGCGTTTAGCCAGGAAAAGAGAGACATCTTCAAATACCTTAAGAGCTGCCACCAGAAGGATGGAGCACGCTTGTTTTCTTCTGCTCTGGAGGGCAGGACTCGAACCAATGGATTCAAGTTACAAGGAAGGAGATTCTGACTAAATATCAGGGGAAACTTCTTGAGCTGTTTGACAGTGGAACAGACTCCCTCGGAAGGCAGTGGACTCTCTCTCCTTCCTTGGGAGGTTTTTAAGCAGAAATAGGATGGTTATCTGTCGTGGAAGCTGCAGCTGAGATTCCTGCAATGCAGGAGGTGGAATAGATGACTCTTGGTATTGTTGTAAACAAAAACTGCCCTTTTCCCCTTATGGGGTATCCAAGAGCCCATATAGAGTCCTTACATAGGTTCCCTATTGGTAGGAGAGAATAACAGAGGCCAACCAGAGAATATTGAGAAGCAAAGCAGCTAGTGAACTTGATTTTTATTGATCTGTTGCAACAGGGTGCTCCCCTCACCCGCAGGAGAGAGGAGGAACCCAGAAAAATGGCATGCAAGGCCTTATAAAGACTTTTGAAATTCCCATCCTGTAGATCAAGACCACCCCCAGAAACATCATACATACATCACAGAAGGGGTGTAACCTAAGACCACCCCTCAGATACATCACACCTACATCACAGAAAAGGCGATCTAAAACAGAAATTTGAATATTGTTTTTCTCCTGTTGTTGTTTATCTCCTGTCTGGCAGGTTACTTGATTGGATTGCCTGGGGAGCCTGGCCATTCTTTTGTAGTGATAAATACTTATTTCCTGGGCCAGGTCACAGGCTCACACCCTATTCATATCTTAAATGTGTCATTAAGACAGGATTTGTGAGGAAAGAGACAATGGGGAGGTTTCCCACTTTGACCTTGCAGAGAAAACATTTGGTCAGTTTAGGAATCAAAATGGTTCCAGGTTGGCCTTCCTGTGCTGATCTATGTATGTGCTTGGTTGGTACGCTTGTGAACATTACCATATATCTAAGACCATAATATTCCTCTCACAGTATCCCTTCCAACTCTACAATTCTTTGATTCTCCTATGAGGGGAGTGAAGGAGTTGCGCGGTTTGGAAAGGAAGCAGTCCCCTTTCTCATTTGTCCTGCCTGACTCTGCTGCCTCCCCCAGCTGAGATCCCTGTTAAATAAAAACCGAGGCTAAAAGAGCAGATTTGCTCTGCCACCAGTGCCTCCTCTTCTCCCAGTAGGATGGAGGGAAGCAGCGCTGGTCAGCCCTAGCAACAGCGCTTCGCGGAGGCTATTATTATGCCCCAAACATAGGAAACCGTCTCATGCCAGATCAGACTAATTGCTCAGCTATCCCGGTACAGTCTGCTCTGTCTGACAGCCTCTCTGCAGGGTTTCAGGCAGAGATTAATCGTTTGCATTACTCGCCACCCGAGATGTTTTAAACGGGAGATGCCAGGGAACGAACTTCAGGACATTTCGCATGCAAAGCATGCCCTCCGCCGCCCAGCGGCTGCCTCTCCCGCCTCCTTGAGTTATCTGAAAAAGCGCCAGCGCTGTGTTCGAGAATGTGCAGGGGTTATTTAATTGATTAATCAGTGCATCAGTAAATAAATCCCAGAGATAAATGGTGCTTTGGAATCAGTTCCCGTAAGTTGCAGTGGCGACAGGGACAAATTCGTGGAGGAGTGGCTACTAGCCATGATGGCTGTCTTCTGGCCCCCACGCCCGTCAGAGGCTGAATGTCCCACTATACCGCTTGCTGGGGATCTCTTAAGTGGAGACAGTACTGTTGCATTCACAGGCATCTGGCTGGCTGCTGTGCAAATAGGACACTGGAATAGATGGGAACATAAGGAGAGCAAGATTTAATGCTGGCCACCAGGCAATGGCTTTTCCCACCTGCCTTGCCCCACCTTCCAGCCCTAGGAGCCTTCTGACCAGAGGTGCTGCCAGAGGCGTCATGTGCACAGGCAACTCCCCGTATGCGTGGGGGTCGCGCTCCTGGCCCCTGTGCATGTCAGCGGAGAGCGCATGAGCCCCATGCACGATGCCCCATTTTTGGGCCACTTCTGGGTCTGTAGCTATGACAGAGAGAGTGAGTTTGTGCACATCAAGCAGACACACTTAAAATCGTCACTGCTTGTATGTGTCGTCTGATGAACTGAGTGGAAGATTATGAGTTATGGGGTGGAGAGAGAGAGAGAGTGAGCATGTGGATTCAACAGTGCTTAGTTTGCTCTGGGTTGCTGGTTTGTTAATGTTGCTACTACCGTTTTGTGGATTATGAGTGCTATAGTTTTCTGTGAATCTTATCACATGACTTCTGTCGTGGTTGTGCTGTTTAGCTTCTTTCTTTTCAGTTGATCCGTTAATAGCGTTTCACGGAATACCGTTGTTTCGCTGATTTGCAATGGTTTTACTGATGATTTGTTAATGGTTCTACGTGATTTGTGGTGTTCTATTATATTATTGTTATTTGTTGTTTCTGAGCTGCTTTGTGAAATATTCATTCATTCAGGGAAGTTTTTAATGTGTGACATTTTAGTGTATTTTTGGTCTCTGTGGAAGCCGCCCAGAGTGGCTGGGGAAACCCAGCCAGATGGGCGGGGTACAAATAATAAATTATTATTATTATTATTCATTCATTCATTCAAAGAACTGGATTCTACAACAGGCCAATGGGCCGTCTAGGTCACAATCCTGTTCTCACAGTGGCCTGTGGGAAGCCTGCAAGCGGTAGTCAGGCACAAGAGAACTCTCCCCTGTTCTGTGGGCCAAACGGGATGCATGCCGGACTTTGCCGGACCCATGGGATGGAGGTCCTTCCCCACCCCCACTGCAGTATCCCATGCTGTTCATTCCCAAGTTTCTTCTGGCCCCCAGAACCAGAATTCCCCAAGAACTGGAGAGGGGAGGGAGAGCTGGGCAAGCCCTGGTCTGCTCAGGAAAAGGAAGTTAAGGACATAAGGCAGGGGTCGGCAAAAATGTTTACCCGCGGGCCGGTCCGCTGTCCCTCAGACCTTGTGGCGGGCCAGAGAAGTGGCACGGGGGGGGGGGGGGCTGGAAGAAGAGGTGGGGGGGGCAAGTAGTCCTCCTCCCCACCCTCAGCCCCACCCCCAGCCGCTGCACTTACCTTCCCAAGGGCTGCTGCCGCCGCCGCCACTGCTTCTTCTCGTGGGTAACACACACCACAGTTGCCTCATTACGTAAATCATGTTCGGAATACCACAACACACACGTAACTGGCTGTAAAGTAACATAACGTTATATATAATAAAACTGTAATCTAATTGTCATATCAAAAAATTGCAAAGCACTGTTCCTGATGGCAATAACATATCATATTACTATTAACCTTCTATATGTTTTATTGTCATAAAGTCCAAGGATAGTCAAGTCCAACAATTACAATGTGGGTGGGCAGAGGGAGCTCGTCCACTCCGCTCTCTGGCCTACAGGAGCACCAGGGCGGTGATGGCGGAGGGAAGATGAGCGGCGTGAAAGGGCTGGCTCTGGAGATAGGCTGCTTAAAATGGTGCTCAGCCAGCTCAGCCCAGCCCCCTTCTCCTCTAGGCAGGGCGGGGAGAAGCCAGGAGGAGGGAGGGCGGAGGTGCCGCCGCGGTGTGTGGGAGGGAGAGGGGGGAAATGGAATGGCGCAGGGGGGGAAATGGCGCAGCCCAAACGAACAGAATCCCCACGTTGATCCACGGATGGTCTGCGGGCCAGATCCTGAAGGCAATTGGGCCTGATCTGGCCCCCGGGCCTTAGTTTGCAGACCCCTGGCATAATAATAATAATAATAATAATTTATTATTTATACCCCGCCCATCTGGCTGGGTTTCCCCAGCCACTCTGGGCGGCATCCAACAAAATATTAAAATACAATAGTCTGTTAAACATTAAAAGCTTCCCTAAACAAGGCTGCCTTCAGATGTCTTCTGAAAGTCTGGTAGTTGTTGTTCTCTTTGACATCTGGTGGGAGGGCGTTCCACGGGGCGGGTGCCACTACTGAGAAGGCCTCTGCCTGGTTCCCTATAACTTGGCTTCTCGCAGTGAGGGAACCGCCAGAAGGCCCTTGGCGCTGGACCTCAGTACCCGGGCAGAACGATGGGGGTGGAGACGCTCCTTCAGGTATACTGGGCCGAGGCCGTTTAGGGCTTTAAAGGTCAGCACCAACACTTTGAATTGTGCTCGGAAACGTACTGGGAGCAAATGTAGGTCTTTCAGAACTGGTGTTATGTGGTCTCGGCGGCCGCCCCCAGTCACCAGTCTAGCTGCCGCATTCTGGATTAATTGCAGTTTCCGGGTCACCTTCAAAGGTAGCCCCACATAGAGTGCATTGCAGTAGTCCAAGCGAGAGATAACCAGAGCATGCACCGCTCTGGCGAGACGTAAGGAGAGCCGGATTAGGCCAATGGCCCATTTAGTCCAGCAACCTCACAGCAGCCTACCAGAGACCCGTGGGGAACTAGCGGGCAGGATCCAAACGCAAGATCACTTCCAACCTCCTGCATTTTCCAGCAACTGGGATTCAGGCGGGTCCTGTCTCCACATGGGGATACAATGCATAGCCTCCATCAGGACTAGTAGCTTTGGATAGCTCAGTTTGCTAGAGCGTGATGCTGATAATGCCAAGGGTGCAGGTTCAATCCCTGGGCAGGCTCATATTCCTGCATTGCAAGGGGATGGCTCTCAGGATCCCTCCCAACTATGAATTGGTCTATTTTTCTTCTAAGGGCATCCAAGCTGGTGGCCATCGCTGGCTCTGGTAGGAGCCGGGAGACAACCCTACCTGTTGCTCGATCATATTTTTTATTTATTGCATCCAAGGAGCTCAAGGGGTGTGTGCTTGGTTCTCCCCCCTCCCCATTTAATCCCTAAAACGAACAACAACCTTGTGAAGGTAGGGTTAGGCTGAGAGGCAGTGGGGATTCGAACCCTGGTCCCCCGATCCCTATCCCAACACTCTAACCACTACACCACACTGGCTCTCATGTATATCCAAATATGAATGCTGCTGTTTCTTCTCTAATATCAGTGTACTGGAAGAAGCAAAGATCACCAGTGTTGAAGCAATGGTTCTTCAACATCAACTTCGTTGAACTGGTCATGTTGTGCAGATGCCTGATGATCATCTTCCAAAGCAACTACTCTATTCCAAACTTAAAAATGGAAACCGTAATGCTGGTGGTCAACAAAGAGGTTTAAAGACTGTCTCAAGGCAAATATTTAAAAATGTAGTATAAACACCGACAACTGGGAAACACTGGCCTGCGAGTGCTCCAGTTGGAGAACAGCTTTTACCAAAGGTGTTATGGACTTTAAAGACCCTCAAACTCAGAACGCAAGGTAGAAAAGTGCTAAGAGGAAGGCATGCTTGGCAAATCCACACCGTGATCAACTCCCACCAGGAAACCTATGTCCCCACTGTGGAAGGACGTGTGGATCCAGAATTGGCCTCCACAGTCACTTACGGACTCACTGTTAAAACCATGTTTGTGGAAGACAATCTTACTCGGCTACGAGGGCTCGCCAAAGAAGAAGAAGAATGCGTCCCTGTCTGGCTGTCTCTTTTCAAGCAGTTTCCCCCTAAAAAAACAACAACCCAAAACAAGCTCTTTTGTGCTTTATTTGGCTCGAAGGCACGGCAAGCAGAGCAGGCTTCGCTGCGTCCTGTATATCATTTCACAGAGTTCTGGCAGCCGCCATCCTCCCTGACCCGCCACACGCGGCGATTAATCTGCATCTGACCTTTCTTTTAATCTGCAAATTGGGAATCTGTTCCACGCAGCCCTTCATTATGAAACAAAATAATAAAAAATACTAAGATGAGAGCCAGCCCAACACCCCCACCCCCGCCTGCAGAATAATCTCACTAGCTTGTTGGGAAGGGACGTGAAAGCGTGGAACCAGGCTGGCACTCGGAGAGGAGAGGAGCCGGGAAGAAAGGGTGGCTGTGCTCAGTTCTGCATATGAACCACTTTTATCTGTTTGCTTGTTTATAAAATTACTAGCATCCGTCTTCCTTCCAAAGGAGCCCAAGACAACCAACACCCAAGAAGGGAGAAGACGTAGGTTTGTTGTTGTTGTCGTTTAGTCGTGTCTGACTCTTCGTGACCCCATGGACCAGTGCACACCAGGCACTTCTGTCTTCCACTGCCTCCCGCAGTTTGGTCAAATTCATGCTGGTAGCTTCGAGAACACTGTCCAACCATCTCGTCCTCTGTCGTCCCCTTCTCCTTGTGCTTCCATCTTTCCCAACACCAGGGTCTTTTCCAGGGAGTCTTCTCTTCCCATGAGGTGGCCAAAGTATTGGAGCCTCACCTTCAGGATCTGTCCTTCCAGTGAGCACTCAGGGCTGATTTCCTTAAGAATGGAGAGGTTTGATCTTCTTGCAGTCCATGGGACTCGCCAGAGTCTCCTCCAGCACCAGAATTCAAAAGCATCAGTTCTTGGGCGATCAGCCTTCTTGATGGTCCAGCTCTCACTTCCATACATCACTACTGGGAAAACCATAGCTTTTACTATACAGACCCCAAGGCAACCAACACCCAAGGATGGAGGGGACGTAGGTCAGGGTTGCCATATTTCAAAAACTGAAAATCCAGACAAAATGTTGAAGTTCTAAAGCTACTTTTAAGGAAATTCAGCAAAAAATTGACACTTCCGACATGGGTTGCCATATGCCTGGGTTTCCCCGGACATTGTTACTGGTTTTTTGGAAATTCCACCTGGCGAATTAATCCCGCTCGTATGGCAGCCCTACCATAGGTAGGTCAGTGTTAGGGCATCTGCTTTGCATTCAGAAGGTTCCTGTATTGCAGAGGGTTGGACTAATTGACCTTTGGGGATCCCCTCGAGCTTTACAGTTCTGTGACTCTAACCCCTGGCATTTCCAGAGAGGGCTAGGAAGGCTCCCTTTTCTGAAGCCTTGGAGAGCCCCTTACTCCATATAAATGATCACTCCCTCTATTTGTATATACAGAGTAGTACCTCGGGTTAAGTACTTAATTCGTAGCTAATGGGGCCTCCTGCTGCTGCCGCGCCGCCAGAGCACGATTTCTGTTCTCATCCTGAAGCAAAGTACTTGACCCGAGGTATTATTTCTGGGTTAGCGGAGTCTGTAACCTGAAGCGTATGTAACCCGAGGTACCACTGTACCTGGTTAAACGATACAATAAAAAATAAATTTAAGGGCATATTTAGAACATTAAAAAAAACAATTAAAACATAAGAACATCTCAGAACATGGCAGATCAATCCAGACCCCTCTCCTCGCATTCTGATGGGCAGGTTTGCAGAAACTTGCAGCAGACCAGAGCTAAGGAAAGTGTTGATTGGCTAGCACCAATCATGTACTGCAAAAATTTGGCATGCACGTCTTCTCGGGGCAAGGGAGGGTGATCCTGATCTCTTACATACAAAGTGGAATGGGTTCCCTTGCAAGGTGGTGGGCTCTCCTTCCTTGCATGTTTTTAAGCAGCGATTGGATGGCCATCTGTCATGGATGCTTTGGCTGAGATTCCTGCATTTCATGGGGTTGTACCTTCTCCTGGAGTGAATTGCCTTTTTTTGGTTTGTTTTTTTTGACCCAACCACAGTTTATTTATTTATTTAAACGCCTTTTTCTGTAAAATCCCGCTCTTAAAAAAAGTATCCGGAAGAGGCTTTCAGATGCCAGCAGTAGGACAGTCTCTGCCCCCAGGCGTGCAGTTCAAAAAGACATGGCACAAAAGGAAGAAAGGTTTGGAGGGAAACAAACTCACACACTGCTCCTTAATTAGACAGTCCTTGTAACGGCCAGCTGGAATGGAAAGATTTCGAGGAGGAGCCAGAAACCACTATTTTCCTAGCATACTCTGCATTGATGTGAGGCACAGCAATATTATTATTATTATTATTATTATTATTATTATTATTATTACCCCGCCCACCTGGCTGGGTTTCCCCAGCCACTCTGGCCGGCCCCCAACAGAATATTAAAAACACGATAAAACATCAAACATTAAAAACTTCCCTAAGCAGGGCTAATGCCAATCTGCTCTGTGCTTAAACTGTGTTTGCTAAGCAGCTTCCGAACTGTGGATGTAAAATTCTGGTTAGTTTGGGAAGCCGGTCTGCCATCCCAAAGGGTAGTGTCGTTTCTGACATATCCCTTAACTGCCCTAAGGTGAGAATGGGGGAATTCGAACTCTCCCCAGGGAAAAGAGGTACTGCAGGGAACGGACATGCAGTCTTGCGGCTCGCTCTTGCGCTCTGAACCACGCTTAAAGGAGACGCATTAGGTCTGCCACAGCCCATATACTCCAGAGACAGATTTGCCAGAGCGGCGTCGGTGTGAACCTTGCGTTTCTCAAAGCATATTCTCCAGTCTGAACACAAGAGATACCAGAGGAAGCAAAAAGGCAAAAACAAAAGCCTCAACAAGCTTCTGGCGCATGAGTGGATGTTCTGCAGGAATGGAGAAAATTAAGTTTATTGGGCTGTCTGGGTGGGGCGGGGGGAAAATGTGCACATTCTGTTGCCAGGAGAGCACTTTTCTGTAGGTGAAGGTTCAGTGAAGTGTGGGCTCCATTTACCTGTCAGAAGAGATCAGCTTGACAGAGCGATCTGCTCAAGGAAAGTTGGAGGGACGACATGGTCTTGCCAGCCAGTTGCCGTTATAGCTTGTGCAATATTTATGCCCCTATTCCTGTAAGAGGCAAGGTTTCTTATTGTTTTCTTCTCATTTTTCGTACGTCGGTGGGAATAGATATACTCCTCTTTTATATTGGCTCTCAATCTGTTCCCTTTTATAGCTGGAGGTTTCCTTATTGTTGCCCGGATAAAAACAGCTGACACTTCGGCGCAAAGTTATATGCCTTTTTAAATGCACCGGGACAAAATAGCCGTCCTTGGGGAATTGCGAAAGGGCGACAGGAGAGGGTGTGTTGGAATCTCTCCACGCAGCCCTGAATCACGCTTTCTCCTGTCGAAGTTGGTGGCTTCGTCAAACAAGCCCATTTTTTATTACACTTTTTAAACAGCAAGAATCTAGGCCTCAGGAATGAGGAGGAAACTGGGGGGACGGGGACGGACAACAACTCCCAGCAGCTAACCAGTTTCTGATAAGGATTTAGGTCCAAATATGTACAAGGATAAGGGACACAGGGGCGCTGTGGGTTAAACCACAGAGCCTAGGACTTGCTGATCAGAAGGTCGCTGGTTCGAATCCCTGCGACGGGGTCAGCTCCCGTTGCTCAGTCCCTGCTCCTGCCAACCTAGCCGTGAAAGCACGTCAAAGTGCAAGTAGATAAATAGGTACTGCTCCGGCGGGAAGGTAAACGGCGTTTCCGTGCGCTGCTCTGGTTCGCCAGAAGCGGCTTTGTCATGCTGGCCACATGACCCGGAAGCTGTATGCCGGCTCCCTCAGCCAATAAAGCGAGATGAGCACTGCAACCCCAGAGTCGGCCATGGCTGAACCTAATGGCCAGAGGTCCCTTTACCTTTGTACAAGTATGAAATCGACTTGGGGATTTTTTGCCCAATTTTGATGCCCCAAACCTGCTCCTGTCAAAGCAAGCTCAGGAAGGGGTGGTGGTGGTTAAAGCTGCCTAAAGCAGTGAGGAATCATAGAATTGTAGAGTTGCAAGGGACCCGTGAGGGTCATCTAGTCCAACCCCCTTGCGAGGCAGGAATCTCAACTAAAACCATCCAGGACAGATGGAAGAAGAAGACAAATGGAATGTAGAAAGTCCAGAGGTAGAGAAAGGAGATTATACTGCACCTTTCGAATATGTCAGCAATAAAATTTTAGGATCACAGACCAATTTTAGTCTTTTTAGGGTTTTATTAGGGATGAATGGATCTCTCAGATTTGGTTTTTCTCTGTTAGTTGCTTTTCCAACCTTAGATTCAGTTCTCCAGCCTTTCCACAGCAATTTGCACCAAGGAAAAATCCTCATGAAAATTTAGTGTGATTTCCCCTCTCCCCCGATAAATACATTTTTGTATACAATTTTGACATTTTCCCCAAGCAGTTTTCCCGTACATGATGCAGTTTTGTGTGTTAATTTCACCAATACATGCCTATTTTAATACAGACTTTCTGCACACTTTGATTTGAGAACTGCATTGCAAACATTCAGAGAGATGGGAATTCTCAAGGATAATTCTGTTTTGGTTTGCCTATTGGTTAAAAAAAATGCAGATTAGGAAGTTCCTTATTAAAATGCAAACAAAATGGAATTTCTTCTCCAATAATATATGCTGTTGCAGGTGTACCAGCAATGATTAAATCCCTCCTCTTCCTGTTCACATTTCCAACACTCATCATCAATATTTCCATAGATATTGGATATTTGATTTAGAGATTAATATTAAAACGATTTCCCCTCACCACTGAGAAATGTATTTTTTTGTTAATCTATGTATCTGTCTCTCTTTGGGTGTGTGTACATGTTATACGTTACTCTGGTGGAAATTTATAGGGGAGAATCTGTGGGTTAGGGGAAACATTTCTAGTGCTCTTCTTTAGCCACCTTTTCGTTAACATCAAAAAGGAGAAATAAATTGGGAATAGCAACCTATATTTCTTACAGGTTGGGGATAGGAAACCAGTAATTGCAAAAGATGAAGGAATTCCTCTTTTATATGCCAGCAGCAGGTAGATCGGTCTACTGGAAAACCAGCAAATTAGCGAAAGAAAGGTCAATAAAATGATGAGACGCTCACCCTGTTTAAGAAAATGTTTTAAAGAAAGGTGTGAAAATCTAATTTATTTGAAGAGAGGTGGGAATGGTTTAGCTGTTACTGAGATTCCAGTTGTGCTGGTTTTAAGCAAAGGCGTTTTTTCTTTGCTTTAATATTGTTGTTGGTATCTGCCTGTTTCACGACACAATGGAGTGCATTTTTCTGCATGTTCTAGGCAGGGCTGTCTTAAGCATATGCGGCGCCGGGGTGCAAAGATCCACCCGGCGCCCCCCGCCCCCAGGTTACCCAGTCCCAGGTGTGCAGGAGAGCAGAGCCAGCTGCCCGCCTCAGCGTCTCACTGGCTCAGTTGCCCCCGAACTCGCGGTACAGAGCCATCCTCAGCAGAAGAACCCGCCGTGGTGCTCCGACCGACGGGCGGGCTCTTCCCCAGACTCAACTCTTGGGCCCCGGACTTTTGGCCTGGTGCCCCTGAGAGCCCGGTGCCTGGGTGCCCTGCACCCCTAGCGCCTATGGGTAAGATGGCCCTGGTTCTAGGAGACCTGGGGGTGGGAGGGAGCTGATTGCAGCAGGAGGGGGGAAACTCTGGCTTCTTCCACATCCTGCCTCTCTGCCTCCTGGGGCCACCCCTCTCCAGCTCCCGCTTCTGCCTCTAAGTCTGGACTGCTCTCTGCCACAGCCTCTTCCTGCTCACTAAACCCTGTCGCCTCTTCTTCTGCTTCCTTCTCTTCCCAGTCTGCCCTCTCTTCTCCCTCTGACCACTTGTCATCATCCCACCCCCTGGCTCTGGGAATTCTTCTTTTCAGGGATCCCCAGCTGGTGCCTCCCACCACTGACTGCATCCTGTCAGTCCATATATATATAACATATATAATAATATATTTTTTTTTATACCCCGCCCTTTCCGGTTCAAAAACCAGGCTCAGGGGGGGCTAACAACAAATTTAAAACACTTAATTGTAAAAGCAGCATAAAATACAGTATAAAAACATGAATAACAATAAAATTCAAAGTTCAGAAATCAGTTTAGGGGAAATCCATCTATTAAGCATCCATGGCAGAGACGGGGAAGCCTTCAATGGATGGATTCTCCTGTCTTGTCCTGGAGATGCCGGGAATTGAACCCGAAGCCTTCTGCATTCAAAGCAGATGCTCTACTCCTGGGATGCAGCCACTTCATATTGATTGACTGGAACCAGGGTGGATAAAAATCAATGTGTTTTTTAAATAAATAAATAAATAAAATAATGGATTTTTTTTTAAATTTAAATCAGATTTTTTTATTTAACTGCTTTTGGAGGAAATATCTTTCTAAAGATAGTTTTCTATTTAGGTTACATTATAGTCCAAAGGCTATTCATCAGGAAATAAGGATTTGTTTTAAGTTTTTCATGTGTGCTAAAAGTCAGTCTAAGTTTTTTTAAAAAAACAACAACAACGTTTAACCACATCAGTTAACAAACATGGATACATATGCTATAATGTTGGCAGCTTCCAACAAAATATTTAAATACCGTAATACATCAGACATTAAAAGCTTCCCTAAACAGGGCTGCCCTCAGATGTCTTCTAAAAGTCTGGTAGTTATTTTTCTCTTTGACATCTGGTGGGAGGGTGTTCCACAGGGCGGGTGCCACTACCGAGAAGGCCCTCTGCCTGGTTTCCTGTAACTTGGCTTCTCACAGCGAGGGAACCGCCAGAAGGCCCTCGGCACTGGACCTCAGTGTCCGAGCAGAACGATGGGGGTGGAGACGCTCCTTCAGGTATCCTGGGCTGAGGCCATTTAGGGCTTTAAAGGTCAACACCAACACTTTGAATTGTGCTCAGAAACGTACTGGGAGCCAGTGTAGGTCTTTCAAGACCGGTGTTAAGTGACAAGGATGCTTTGAGATTCCTGCATTGTAGAAGGTTTGGCTACGATTCTTTGATTCTTGAGACGTGAAGGCATATTTCTCTGGTTTGTGCTCATCTGTGGATTCTTCATGGCCGGTGATGTATAAATAGCTCCAAAGGGGCTGGAAACTCATGTGTTCTTTTCAGAGCATAAAACTGAGTCACTTGAAAGCCACCTACCATAGGATACTTAAAAGAGCCTCTTAATTACCACGAGCCCAAAATTCATCACTAAGGGGGAGGCAGGGCTTTCAGGCGCTGAGGTCCTGGGTGCTGGTTTCAAATGGCAAAACAGCAAGCGCGCAGCGACAGAGAGGCTTTCTCCTTCTTCTGGGGCAGGGAGAGGAGGGGATCCTTGATGGAGTAGTTCGATTCCTGCAAATATATTCACACTCAGCACGTACCGACTTTGCTTGCCTTTGCAGAAGAACGAAGGGCATAAAATAGTAATTAGGCTTGTGTGCATTTACATGGCACAACTCTCAATTGCTCAGAGAATGGTCCATGTATGAAGCTGAGAGAGGGTGTGTCCCCACCCCCCGGCTGCCTAATGTGTTTCTGTGCAAGATGAGACTTGGGGTGGGGGGGAGCGTCTCCCAGGATTTCCTTGGTTTGGGCTGCCATCAGTATGCTGATGACACCCATCTCTATATGTTGATGGATGGCCATCCTGACTCAGGGTCCTCGCTGCGGGATCACATTCACCCAGTGCTATACCAGCTGCACTGGCTCCCGGTGGAGTACAGGATCAGGTTTAAGGTGCTGGTTTTAACCTTTAAAGCCCTATACGGCCTAGGACCCTCGTACCTAAGGGACCGCCTCTCCTGGTATGTCCCACGGAGGACCTTACGGTCTTCAGACAAAAACATCTTGGAGATCCCGGGCCACAGGGAGGTTAGGCTGGCCTCAACCAGAGCCAGGGCTTTTTCGGCCATGGTCCCGATCTGGTGGAACGCTCTATCACAAGAGGCTAGGGCCCTGCGGGACTTGACATCTTTCCGCAGGGCCTGCAAGACAGAGCTGTTCCACCAGACCCCCTCCTTCGGTAATTCTCACAGAACTCTAGCCCAATGGTTGCCATTAATTTGATTTTGAACTGATTTTAAAATGAATTGATTTTAGAATGCTGTGTTACTTTTATTGTTGTTAGGTGCTCTGAGCCCGCCTTCGGCTGGGGAGTGCGGGATATAAATAAAATTTTATTATTTTATGATTATTATTTATTGTGCATTTGTAATGGTTTGTGCTAATGATTTACACCACCACATTTTCAGTAGGCCTCAAACGAGACATTATTTATAGAGTACTCTATACCCAGTGATGCACTTACTTTGCACTCGAAACTGGGCTTTTAGTGTTGCAGCTCCAGCCCCCTGGAATGCATCGCCAGCCGAAATTAGGCAGGTGCCCCCAGGCTCCCTACTGAAGAAGTTTTTCCCTGAAGTATGACTCTGCCATTTATGAAATATAATTGTAGAGTTGGAAGGCAACCAAGGGTTATCTAGTCCAATGCAGGACTCGCAGCTAAGGAATCGCATCCAAACTCATGTTTACAAACCTCCAATGAAGGAGAGTCCACTACTTTCTGGTTTGTTTTTAGAGTTATATTTTATCTTGTACTTTGATTGTCTCCAGCTGTGAAGTGGCTTATAACTTGGTAGGATAAATAATCTACTGTATATTTTGGGAAGTTTGATGGTTTGCCTGTCCTCTCTGCATTTAGACGCTGCTTAATTTGCATGTTGGTTCCCGAGACGAAGTAGCAGCTTTTTGTGTGCGTCCAAGTTTGAATACAGCTGGCTGCTGTTTTGAATCAAGGCAGAGGGCTGAACTTTTCAAAACCGCCCTGATTTTAACCAGATTTTAAGATACCGTAGGCAACGGCTGCTTGACGACTCCTGAGATGAAGGAGTAGGTTTTCTTCTGTGTTCAGATACAATTGGATGCTATTTTGAATCCAGGAGGTGGGCTGAACCTTTTCAAAACAGCAGTGATATTAACCACTGGTTCCAAAGTTGCTCCGGTTTTCGGGTTTCTTAGAACTCCCAAGCATTTCCAGGCACTTTCCACTGGTCAATAAATAAATGCATGTCAGGGTACAGTCTTGGAGTCCCCACCTCTGGTTTAAAATGTGTGCAAAGGGGGATGTACAAAGCATCGTTCAAGGAGAAATACCTATGATGTAATGGACTCTGGTAGGGAGAGAGCCCTTTATCGCTGCACCCCCCCCCGTCATCTTTGCTGGGGTGCCCAAAGCTTTATGGTTTGAATTCCAAGACTTGTCTCCCACTTGGAATCGTGATGCCCATGTCTTGTTAGTGTTAACGGAGAAATCTGAGGGCTCCCTTGGACAAAAAGCAGAGAAACCAACCAGGACAATTGGAGCCAAACAGCAGCCAGTAGGCTTGGTCTTTGTTGAGACTGTCGCGACAGGACTCGAACTCACTACAGGATGAAGCAAGATGGAAGCCCCGAACAAAAGAAGACCCCAACTTTTATTAGCTACTAATCCCCCATGCTACAGCCCTAAGACTACATCATAACTATATCATGACTACATCATTGACACGTCACAAAGAGGAGGGATTCAGGGAGGAGTTGTGGTGGTAACCTGAGTGTCTTGTCACCTGTCCGGTTCCTCCTTTCCCCCTCCCCATGATTACATTCCTGAGGACAAAGAGGAGTTCACTGTTTCCTGCCCCCAGAGGGAAGAGCTGGTCACTGTCCTTTGTTTCAGTCCATACTGAATCCACTTCCATTTGCAGGTCCTTTGTGAGTGTAATGATCTTCTGTCTAGGACCATCAAGGCTGGCATGCCAACTGGGTAGGGCTTGCTGTGGATGTGTTAGTGCGCTTGGGGGAATTATGGCTGCCTTGTGTCAAGCCTCCCCCCTTTGATAGTCCTTCCTTCATGGTGTAAAATAAAAGTGGAACGGTACAGATCCGATGTACGGCTGATTTTCTATGAATTTACAGTGGTACCTCAGGTTACATACACTTCAGGTTACATATGCTTCAGGTTACAGACTCCGCTAACCCAGAAATAGTGCTTCAGGTTAAGAACTTTGCTTCAGGATGAGAACAGAAATCGGGCTCCAGCGGCGCAGCAGCAGCAGGAGGCCTCATTAGCTAAAGTGGTGCTTCAGGTTTAGAACAGTTTCAGGTTAAGTACGGACCTCCGGAACGAATTAAGTACTTAACCTGAGGTACCACTGTATAACAGAAGCGTCACGTATGTCGTGTGTGTGTGTGTGTGTGTGTGTGTGTCGTGTTTGTACAACTGAATGATGGGGAGGTTGGTTCCTGCAAAATTAGCACCTGATCCTGGTGGAGCGAGCGGGCAAGAAAATAAAGGAATATATATGAGGGAAATCACAGAATGGCCCATTTGAAACAACAGCAGCACTGCTGCCCAAAGGCCTTTGCTGGGGATTATTTGTTGCACATCTATTTTAGCTACATAATCACTCTTTGCAATGTGGGCTCTTAAATGATTAATTATAGTGGGGAGGGAGGGGAGAGAGAGAGAGATTTGGGAAAAGAGACGACTCCGCTGAAGTCTGTTTGCTCAGCGAACCGCCGTGTGTTTTATTAGGCAGTGGCTGCTTGTTCTGCCAGCCCTTTGCTTTTCTGGGAGGCAGGCAGGCTGGTGGTGAAATTTGCCATGCAGAAGAGAAAGGTGGGGATGGGGGAAATGGCTTCTTCCCCCCGTTATGGAACAACAATGCAATACAATTAACAGCAAAAGGCAGTGGATTTCAAACTTGAGAGAGATCCTGTTCATTACTGGGGGACCTTGGGGCAGTCTCAATGTGGCCTGCTTCAGAGGGTTCATGGAACCATAGAATCGTTGGAAAGGGACCCAGGGGTCATGTAGTCCAACCCTCTAAAATGCAGATTATGTCAACTCAAGCATCCCTGACAGTTGGCCATCCAACCTCTGCTTAAAAACCTCCCAAGGAAGGACGGTGCGCCACCTCCTGTGGGAGTCTGTTCCACTGCCGAACAGCTCTTACTGTCCGACAATTCTTCCTTACAGTCTGAAATGCTACGGCACGCAAGGAAAAGCGGGCAGGGAAGGAAGAGGAAGAATCAAAACTCAGCCACCAGTTTCTAAACAGTTCCTATAATGACCAGCTGGCCCAGCTCAGGGGCAGGAGGTGCCTGACGGAACACAAAACCAGACAGTAAAATTGTAATAAGTTAGAAACAAGTTAAAAGCAGAGAGAGAGAGAGAGCTTCAATTGTGACTGTAATGGGATGTGTGTGTGCTCTTAATTGCCTG